TATAGTAAGTGTGTAGTAGACATTTAGTATATGTGCTGCCGAAGCGAGCACTGTAGTAGACATTTAAAAAGAGTGATATATATATATATATATATATCAAAAGTGACTTACACATGTGAAAATATGGTTACACATGTAAAACATAGTTAGTAAGGATAGTGTGTGTGGTTACTAAACATACACATGTTAAAGTATGGTTGGTATGACATACATTAAAAATATGGTTAGAAAAACACCAGTGAGTGCACGGATCTGTTGCCAGTACATGTGAGAACTTTTTAAAACAGATTTCCAAGAAACATAAAATATAAATTCATAAAACATAAAACAGCAGTTATTCATCCACAGAACATTCCAAATTACCATCTTTATGAGCACCTGTCTTCTGAGAAATTATTTCTACTCTCCAATACCCATTTCTTTACAAAAGGTTTTGCAAAGTACCTGAAACATGCTTATGCATCTTATTTGTCATTACAATTAAGTGAAACGACCTTTAAGAAATATTTGAAATTTTCTTCTTTTGGAATAAGTTATGCAGATTTATTTAATGATGTTCTTCTAATCTCCAAAAAAGTTATGGAAAGAGTAGTGAATCTAAGCACAACTACAAAATCGAAAATTATTTTAAATATAATTGACTAGTCATTCCAGATCATGGAAAGTAAGATTCTGCATCTTGTTATCTTAAAGAGAGAATTTTACCTCTGTACCTGTTTCAGGTGCTCGAAGTGATAGAGATGTTTTGGGGCCCTTTCCCCAGTAGGTGTAAGGAGTGACAGAAAGGTTAAATAAGGCATATGGCTCCAGCCCTTCCACAGTATATACAGGTAAAAGCTGTTTTTCACTAGCCAGGAACTAAAATACAAGCACAAAACATCATTTCCTTAGGGGAAGAATTATAACATTTTTCATTCCTGATTAACTAAAATCTCCAAGCTTTGCTTCATTTGTAAAGTCAATACTTGGAATTTTGGGAAGTGTGTCCAACATGGCACTTAGCACAAAGTGGTCAAGACAGGCTATAAACAAGTTAACAACCCTGACAACCGAAAGAACAGAAGTGAAGGGCTTGACTAAGCGAACAAGCCACACACACCGTGTGCAGGACTGGCACGGACAGCAGTCTGTCCAAAAGGAAGTGACCAGGACCCACACCACACCTTGGAGTGAGCACTGAATTCCACGCTGTAGAAAACCACGCCCCAGTCCACCTTGGGGGGAGTGCTCCACAGGACTTGAAAAGCTGAAGCATTTCCTTCCGTCCTAAATGAAGACTCCGGAACAGAATCCAGGATAACCTTAGGGGTAGAGGAAAAGTTTCCTATGGGATGGGAGAAAGAAAGAGAGGGAAAGGGGATTTAGGACCACTGATTATCACAGAATCATGGGTGAGCAATAGAAATTACTAGTAATTAGAACTAAAAGTTTTCCCTTCCTTCAATATATCTTGAAAATCACCTTTTCTGACTTTTTCAGGCTTTAAATTTGAGCTAAGATTAAACTGACTACAAACAAGCCAACAAAACTACTAATACCTTTTTCCTCTTACGACATCATTCTGAAGGAAGAAAATCCCAACTTGCATGTGTATTTAATAGAAGGTGAGGGGGAGAGGGAGTAGGCAATGAAGCACTGTACCGGGCAGAGGCTTGAGGGACGTCTGAATGATTGTGAAATGACTAAATCTGGCCGCTTCTGACACAGACACACTGGTTCTCTGCCCTATTTCCTGAGCTGTGATCATCCTGAAGCCGTTGATCCAGAACAGCCTGCCACTGTAGTACATCAGAGCATTCTGGGAAATTTCAGAAGTACTCCAGGCCGCAAACTCCGTGATGCTGATGTCCACGGTGCTGCAGAAACACAACCCCAGTGAGTGCATCCCCCTGTCACCAGGACCTGTGAGAATGCCTGTGAAAACTGTCTGTGGAAATGGGAGTGGGAACAAAAAGAAAGAGAAAGTGCTTTGCAATGACAATTGTCAGCATTTTTAGTTCCATGTTAAATTTATTTTTTTACATTTTTCTTAAAGTATTAGATCTAAATCAAAATTTCTAGGAATTTTAAAATTAAGGTAATATTGTAATAGCAAGATTGTTTACTCAGATTGCAGCTTTAACAGTACTTGTGATTTGGGTAACATTCTACCTCAAAGCCACAACCTGAATTCTCACGACTTCATTAGCACAGAGACCACATCTTTGGTTTATTCCATGTGCTTTTACAACACTTGCATTAGTAGAAGAAAGACAGAGGCCAGGTACTCCCAGGAGTTAGAAATAAGGTTACCATGCAGAAATGAAACCAGAAAAACCCATATATATGGTGTAAACTTACCGTCTTCACAAAAGGCTCAAAGAGCGCTTATAGACGTGAAGCAAAAAGTCTTCCAGACCAACCAAGAACAACATAATAGCCGACAGGTGGAAGAGTGAGGACCCAGGCAGCGCAGCAATGGGAACACACATGTCCGGGGATTTGAAAAATGGAGGGCCCTGGAGGCCAGGGCTTCGCAGGAATTGTCCAGAATGGGCAGGAGCAAATTTTCCTGGGGTTGGCAGCCACAAACATTAGCACAGTTTGTCGTAAACTCTGACACTGTCCTGGGCAAGCATCCTCCTCGGCAACCCAACTGCACCCTGTCTACTGTCCCTCGCCTAGCCCAGTCCACAGCGCACCGAGAGGGTGGCCTACAGGCCCACGAGAGTCTGCCCATTCCTGAACAAGGCCGGGCCTCACTGGCATGCGAGAGTCTCAGGCGGGGAAGCCTGAGAAGCAGAATGGCACAGAGCCCCTGCTCATCCAATTGTTAAACATGGGATTTTAGGGAATTTAACCTCTCATTTAACCACCTACTAAATGTGGATGTAGCAATACCAGTTACTCTGCACGGGCATAAACTTGATCTCATTTCATCATAACTTTTTCGAGAAGTAAAAAGATGAATTTAAAAAAATTTTATGACCCCTGCCACCCCATGAGAAAAGGCAGACACCACACATGGAGGTGAGGGCTGCTCAGAAGGCACAGTGGGTACCGGTCTCTCCTCCCTGCCTGCGTTCCTGCCCTTGGGCAGTCGCCCTGCCATCACCATTCTCCCAGCCTGCCTGCTCCTTCACGTTAGCCCTCCCTCGATTGTCTGTGGCTGCAACAATGTTTAGCATATAGGGTATTTTGTTTTTTGGTTTTTTGTACCAGGGATCAAACTTGGACCATGCGCTTGCGAGGCAGGCGGTGGAATCACTGAGCTAAATTCCCAGCCCCTGCAACAATGTTTAGTAGTCTGTTGCTTCATCAAAATGCTTCTTTTTCAGACTAGGGAATTCAAATAAACAGGTTATTGCTTAAACTGCTTTAGCATTTCTTTCTTCTCCATGAAAAGGAATTGTGTAATGATTTTTACTTTAAAAATTTGTTTGGCTGTTTCTAAAATTATGCCAGTTGCCTTGTACTCTATAAAAACTGTCCAGGGGCCAGGGATTTAGCTCAGTGGTTCTGCCACCTGCCTCGCAAGTGCAAGGTCCCGAGTTTGATCCCCAGTACCAAAGAAACAAATAAAAAAAACTGTCCAGTGATTCTCCATGTTTTAGAGTGATGATTTGGTTGTTTCAAATGGTTTCTAGAAATCATTTTATAGATTTGATTGTGTTGGTATTCCCCTCTTTAGAAAAGCATATAGTATTTTAAATCAAAATGAGTAAGTTTTGTTTTGAGCATTTCACCAAAAAAATTGAAAATAAAGAAAACTAAGTCAGAGCACAGGAGCTGGCAGTTCTGAGTCTTGTGGGACATCAACTAGCCTCAGCAGGGTGGCTCCTCCGTCCTGCATCTACTAAGCCACTGCCTGTCTATCTCTGCTCGGCTGTGAAGCCTGCAGACTTATTCCACGCCCGATTTACGAGCTGCTGTTTCCACGACTCAGTGGAACTTCCCAGTTACCTTCTGAAGCACACAGAACCAAGCTGCAGATGGAAGGGCACTGGCCTGGCAGGACACACTGGCCTCAGCACCCGGCCCTGCTGACGCTGGCCCAGCTGCTGCCGAGCTCCCTGCCCACCCAGGAAGGTGTCGGTCAGCCACACCCCAGGCCAGGCTGGCTATCGCTTCAGCATTCCTACAAAGGGTCTCCCTGCAGGGCGGGCCCAATGCCTCTTAGAGTCCCCTAGTTTGCAGGATTGAGGCCTCTTAGAGTCCCCGGTACAAAGTGCTCCTTGTTTCCACTCAGAGGCTCCTCCCTCAAGTGCAAGTCTCCTGCACATCTGCTTAGCCCCCCAAATTCGTGATCTCCAGTGTTCTTTGCCTTCGGCTGGGGATTTAGCCAATCTTCTCACTTTCAAGAAGTCAGTACTCCAAACCCTTCAATTCTCAAAAACAGGTAAGGCTAGACGTGAACAAAAATTCATCCAGAAAATCATGGTGTTTGCACCAGAGCCCCTTCCATGAAGCATGAGGTACAACAGAGCTCAGTCGAGGTCACTCTAGCAAGAGGTGGTTTATTCTACACATGTTACAAGTGCAGTTCTGTGCTCATGATTAGGAATACAGTGGTACTAAGAGAGATGCACACGCTGCCTTCGTAGAGCACGCAGCCCTAATGAAAAGGCAGAGAATCAGCAAAGAACTGCATTATCATTATTATTATTATTATTTTGGTACTGGGAATCAAACTCGGGACCTTGTGCTTGCGAGGCAGGTGGCAGAACCACTGAGCTAAATCCCCAATCCAGAACTGCATTATTGAATGGACTCTAAAAGGAAAGTACATTCGACACTAAGAGAAACTCTGGCCTAGGAAGTAATGTTTGAGTGAGGCCATAAGTGAAGCTCTGCTGAGGCACTGTGAACTAACCAGGGACCCAGAATGGGGAGCAGTTCAAGTGCAGAAAACAGCAAGGATGTGTGCCGTGTTAGAGCAGTATGATCTGCTCTGGTGCGATGAAATACACCTGAACTTTCATGACAGTGCACTCATTTCAACTTCAAAGTCAGAAATGGTATACTGTTTGCAGTTTTTCTTTTTTTCTTTTTTTTGGTACTGGGATCGAACTCAGGACCTTGCGCTTGTGAGGCAAGTGTGGTGGCTCTGAGCTACGTCCCCGGCCCTAGCCTTATTCTTTATAAATAAAGGAACTGGTTATGCAAAGGAGAAGGAAGAGCAATTTGAATGAGGGAGTCAATTTCAATACTCAGACACAGAACAGAGGAAGGACAGCAAACATTTTGGTTCCCACCTGACCATCCCACTAGTCAACCACATGACAGGCAGATGTCTGAGCATCTCTGACCTCAGTCTTTTTATCTATGAAATAAAATAACCTCAAAGTTGTCCCTCTAAATGCTGTGTTGTAATGAATTTATCTTATGCTTTAATTTCATATCTGTAACTACTCTCTTGAAATTAAAACTATTGACTGTTTAAGCTAACAATAAGTTTTAAAGATTTTTACAGTAGGAGTAAAATATCTGACAACAATAACACAAAGAGTAGGGGTAACAATATGGCCATGGAGATGGTGAGGCTCCATAAGCTGAAGTGACAAACTCCAACCCAATCAAACTGAACAGGTCGAAGTGGTAAACAAGACTCCTTAATAAATCCAAGAACACATCATTGGAAAGCAGAACCTAACTAAACAGATCTTCATGCAAACAACAAATTCTCTTTGCTCTATTTGACCTTAATCCTCAGGGTGTGCGCACGCATGCGCGCGCACACACACACACACAAAGAACATGAAAAGACAAGGAAACAGAATGCCTCCAAAGACTCCTGATGCTCCCTAAGCACATCCAAGGGGCACCAAAGGAAAAGAAATCAAACACCAGATGGCTCAGCTGTGCAAGACAATTAAAGAGGAAGCAAAGAACCCGGAAAGCTCAAAGATGATATAAACAAAAAGACAGAGAAACTACCAAGCAAACTGACCAGTGTGGTGTGGGAAAAACAAATAAAAAATTGGAAGAGTTGTCCAAAATGGTTCAAAACACGAATGACAAATTTACCAAAGAAAGACTCCATGTTACCAAACAGAAATCCTAAGGATAAAGAATTCTAATAAATTTGTAAACAGTATAAAAGACCAATGGAAGACAGGATTTCAGAAATCAAGGACAAAATGGAATGATATGATGATACAGTGAGAGAAACCTAAAAACAACAGGAGAGCAAGAGAAATTCAACTAACAGCTGGTCGATGACCCTAAGAAGAATCACCTAAGGTTGACTGGAGCTAGGGGGAAGTTAGAGGACAGCATACATGGAATAAAATCTGTTCACAGAAATCATAGCAGAAAACTTTCCAAGTGTGAAAAAAGAACTCAATATACAGGTAAGTGAGGCTTACAGAATACCAAATAACTATGATGAAAACAGAAGCTCCCCAGGACACATCATAGTCAAAATCCCAGAAGTCCAACAGAAAGACAAAAGTGGTCAGAGAAAAGCAGCACTTTCTTTTTTTTTTTTTTTTGTATTAAATTCTTTTATTGGTACATTGTAGGTATACAACACAATTACATTTCTC